GCTCGCTCCCCTTTGTTGTGCATAGGCATGGGGCATAAACCCTAAGGCCCTAAGCTTCTGAGCCTCACCACCCCCCCCCCCCCCCCCCCCCGAGGTTTCACATACAACGTGCCCTTCAACCTGAAGACGACGCTGTACCTGGCTGTCGCCCCAGAGTTGAACCCGCTACTTTCACTTCACACCTCGAAAGATAGGGCATGGGTCTAGCATACGTTGTACATATTCGCACATGCATCTGCATGTGCTGTTTGCACGCGCATGGGTCATAGGTATGTGCACAAGTTTAAAACGGACGTAGGATCCAACCTTCAGCGTTGAGTTGTTTCATGTTCGCAAAGGGTTTCTTTCGTATATTTTGGGATCTGAGCATGTCGGGGTTTGCTGGAGGGCCGAGGCTCAACTTCAGGGGCCAGGCTTGGAGGTCAGGGCTGAGGCCTGAGGCTTTGTTTGGAGAGGGAGCCGCAAGCATTGCAAATCCCTTTTGACTCTTGTATCCTCTCCCCTTGCCTGCAAGGACAAGCTCATGGCGTGGATGAAGCTTCCCGCGCGGGTGCCCGGCTGTAAGCACCGGAGCTTCGACCTGGGGGGGAAGTTCGGATTTAGGGCACAGGCTCTGGTGTCGGGTTGAAAAGTCTTGACACCTAGCGTTGCTGCAAGTCCGTAGGCTTTGCACAGCACATGAACTGCAACAATAAAGGAGATCAGCGTGTTCGGTGTGCACCCGCTGCCTTAGGCAAAAAGGTGTAGGAGCTCCCGGTAGTGTCTTATCAAGGCGCAACATGTACACAGATGCAGCACACGGCATGGACTACAGAGCACTCACGAAAGCCCGAAAGCCCAAAGCCCTACAACAAGAGTACCACCCTGAAAGCTTGAGCAAAGCAACTGTACGACCGAGGCGCTGAACTTTTGAAACCCTCGAGTCCCCATCAAAACCCCAAGACCCCTTCCTTGCAAAACTTGCGTGCCTTGCTGGCAGCTCAAGGCTCGGGCATTCATGTACGGACAAATGCCCCCTGGCGCGATTTTGGGTGGAGTTTGAAATCGTGTCGAAGGTCAAGGGCCGTTAGGGCCGTTGGGGCCCTCTAGGGGTTTAGTGGTAAAAAGGTTGATGCATAGAGATGGCCCTGAGCTGAAAGTCCCTGGGACTTTGGATGTGGATGCAGGGGCAGTCGTTGAGTTGGGTCCATGTCCCACACCCGCCTCAGCCGAGCTTCTGACAGTGCCTCAAAATTCCGCGAGCATCCCGAACATCTGGGGCTTCCCTGCAATTGTGTCAACATGAGAGCCTACAAACACCAACAAAACCGGCCTTCAGCGCAAAGTCCAGGGGTTCAAGTTAAGGGTTCCGGCCAAAGTCCAGGGAATCGCCGAAGGGCTCGTTTGTGAGAAGTGCAGTCGCCATTCGCCTCAGGAAGTACTGGTCTGTCCCCATAGCGCCTGAGCAGATGGATTTCTTTTGCGACCGTACCCAGGAGGACTGACATGGGTTTTTTTGCGTCTTGGGCTAATGCCACAGGGTGTGGACGAAGCGTATCATGTCTCAGCCCCTGGCTCTGAAACGTAAAGAGGACACCGCAGCTTGTGCAGGCAGGTCGAGGTTCATGAAGCTCAAGGTTCCGCGGATGGCAAGCGCCCGACTGCAAAATGTTGCGCAAAGCATGTCGCGCATCGTTGCCCACTGTATATGTCTAATGTGTTTTATCAGATTCCTGCTGTCCTTGTAGCTATGGCTGCTACAAGTGCCGATTCCTCACAGCACGCCTCAATCCATCAATTTCTTTCGGCAGTGCTGTCGAAAGCTGCTACGCAGCTGCTACTCTGACTGCCCACAGGCCCGTTGGCTTTGAATAGTGTTTCGTCAGGACTGCTCATTCCAGGTGTCCTTCTCAGAGAACGCCAAGGCTCCGTAGTTGTGCACCTTGCGTTCAGGATGTTGGATCTCAGAGCCCCAAGCCTTACGTCATCACTTTCTTGGCCATTCCATCTGGCTTTCTTTTGAAGATGATCGGTTGAATGCAACGACGAGAGCAAGTCTTTGAACAAATCGTTCTGGGTGAAAAAATGCTGTTTTAGAGCATATTCTTCTTGGTTCGGCTTGAAATCGTCGGCGTCGGCGTCGGCGTCGAGGTCGGCGTCGTCGTCGTCATCGTCGTCGTCGTCGTCGTGGTGGTCGTCGTCGTGGTGGTCGTCGTCGTGGTGGTGGTGGTGGTGGTGGTGTTGGTGGTGGTGGTGGTGGTGTTGGTGGTGTTGGTGGTAGTGGTGGTGGTGGTGGTGTTGGTGGCGGTGGTGGTGGTCGTGGTCGTGGTCGTGCTCGAGCTCGAGCTCGAGCTCGTGCTCGTGCTCGTGCTCGTGCTCGTGCTCGTGGTGGTGCTCGTGGTCGTGGTGATTGGTCGTAGTCGTGGTAGCAGTGGTAGTAGTAGTGGTAGTAGTGGTAGTGGTGGTAGTAGTGGTACCAGCGGTAGTCTAGTGGTAGTCGTGGTAGTAGTGTAAGTTCATACGAGTGTTGGGTGTAAGTACGGGTCTAGGCATTAGGGTTGCGAACCTAGGGGCCGCCACGTTTTTTGCTAAGGCACCCAGGGCAAGATCAAGACACCAAAGTGGCCGGCGTTTGTTCAACCTCTCAAACTGTGAGCTCCATTTCTGCCCTGGGAAGGTGCTGCAGTGGTCTTGGTTCGGCGACCAGGACAGGGTTGATCAGACAGAGTATGATTCAACATCAGGGTCAAACCCTAAGCCCTAAGCCCTAAGCCCTAAACCCTAAACCCTAAACCCTAAACCCTAAACCCTAAACCCTGTTGGCGAGGAGAAGCAGATCTTCACGCCCGAGGGCATGGCAATTGGCGCCGTGGGGGCTCCCTGATGCCTAGGACAGCCAGGAGTCAGGAGGCTTCCCCAACCTTTCAGCGCCACAAAAGCCCAAACCAATAGACCCGAAACTCCAAACTCCAACCCGGGTCCCTTAAACCCTAAACCCTAAACCCAAAATGCCGAAAAGGAGTGAAGGGTTGTTAAAAAAAAGCCAAAATGCCCTTGAACAAAAAAAGTTTGAACCTGGAGCTGCGCTCTTTGGGGCGCTGGGCCTCTGGCCTTCCGATGCCCTGACCCTCAAACCCTGGAAGAAATAGCTTCTGGCTTGAGGACTTTGGGGGCTTTGGGTTTTTTGGGGGCTTTTGGGGGTTTTTGGGGTTTTTGGGGTTTTTTGGGTTTTTGGGGTTTTGGGGGCTTTTGGGGGCTTTTGGGGCTTTTGGGGTTTTTGGGGTATTTGGGTTTTTTTGCTCGCGCCATGTTCGAGCCCTGCATCCTCGGGGGTTCTGGTGCCCGACTTTGTAAAGAGCTTCGATCCCTGAGGCGACCCTAATCTTGCGATGTTCGCCGGTATACTAACAGTCCTTAATCGGGATTATAGTTGGGGGTACTATGTTCGTGGTATAGTAGAAGGGGGAACATCTTAACCCTAATCCATAAACGGCCACACCCGAAGCTGAAGCGACCAAGGCAGTAGCCCTTGCAGTGCTGTGCCCGATCCTGCTGCCGCAGGCGGGCAGTGGAAAGTGGCTTGAACTCGCGCCCCGAGAAGCGAATCTTCAAAGCACGAGACCAAAAAGCCAAACCAAAGCCGACACCAACGCACCTCATGCCCTGCGCAGCTTTCCAAGAAGAAGGGCGACAAGCCACCGACTCAGCCTATGTCGTCGATTCAGCTCAAAAGGCCCTGAAAATCCATGGCTTAATCAGGCCGGTATGCCGGTATGCCTTAATGGCTTCAGGGCATGTGCAGCCCCTTGCGATTTCAGTTGGGACCTTCGGGATCAAGCGGTGGAGGAGGCTCTTGCATGAAGCTCCAGGGTTGGGAACGCTTCGAAGCATGAGGAAGTGGGATCAAGGGTTCTGAACATTCTGGCACGACCCGTTGCAGACACTACTCGCATGTGGATACCAGACCGACAAGCCTTTAACAGCCCTGGCAGAAACATGGACCAAACACTCGTCAAGGCCGTGTGAGCCTAAGCGCCCAAGACTGCTAAGCCGTCTGAGGTTTTCCGCAAAAAAGCAAAACTGAGCTGAAATCAGCCGGTGCCGAGCCTAGACTGGTTCTTCTTGGCTTCGGGTGGGGGCTTCTCACAGGCAGCGAAGGGATTTGCAGGCGGGTTTCTTCGTTGTTGGGTGTGCTGTTTCGGGGTTAGGGGAGTGGAGGCGCCTGGCACTTGTCGTCTCCGATGCCTCTCTGGCCAAGTCCTCTGAACCCCACTGTTAGCTGTTTATGAACCCCTTTCTTCTTAGAACCACCTTGATGGAGGTCCATCTAAAGATCCACAGCAGCTGTCAATTTATGCAAAAAACCCTCAAGTCCTAAGCCACAAAGCCCGAAGCAGCAAGCTCCAGCGAATTCAAGGCTCCATTTTCTCATGTTGAGCGCCTCGTCTTGGGCCCCGCCCGCTGAACCACCACTAGGGGCTTAGTTACTCAGAATTTTACATGAAGCCGGCAACGTGTAGGGTATGTAAGGTCTAGCGGTCTAAGGTTTACAGGGAACAGCGAGGGAGATTCAAAAATCGTTGATGGCTTGGACTCCTTGGTCCTCCTAACCCCGAAGCCTTAAACCCTAGACCCGACACCGTACGCCCTAAGCTTGCACGGCCATCGCTAAAAACCTGATGCTCCAAAAGTTATGCAGCCCGGGCTTAGGATCCAGAATTTTTGGGGTTTTGGGGTCTGCGTGTGCAATGTCTAGCGTTCAGGTTACAAGTTCGTACGTTGCCCTAAACCCTAAACCCTAGACCCTAGACCCTAAACCTGTACCTCCGAAGCTTGCCACGGGGCCTGGGGAGTGAGACGTTGCAGTTGGATCGAGGTCCACACTGTAATGAGCCCCGAAGTCTCAGTAGAAACCTCAACCTCCTAAAGCCCCGAAAGCCCCTGAAGCCCCTGAAGCCCATGAAGCTCCTGAAGCCCCTAAAGCCCCTAAAGCCCCAAGCCTAAACCCGAAAGCGGGAAGCCTTTCAACCCCGAGCCCCCAAAATCTGCTTTTGCGACTGGGCACAGCCCAGTAGGGTCCTAGGTTAGGAGTTTGGGCTTGGGGCTGCCAGAGTCAGAGGATGAACATCTTTGAACCCCCCTTGAGCCTTTGAAGCAACCCTAGCAGCTCAGGGTTCGGGCATCTCAGTGGGACCTTGTTAGTCAATTTTGCTGAATGTCTTGGCAAGTCACGTGGGCTGCAAGCTTGCAGGGAGCCATCCGGAGCCCTTAAAGCCCTTTATGATTATGATTATGATTATTATGATCATGATTATGATTATGAGTATGATTATGCTTATGACAATTACGATGATTATGATTAGTATTATTATCATTATTATTATCATCATCATCATCATCATTACTATGATGATATTATGATGACTATCAGTATGAATATTCTTATTACTACTAGTATTGCCATTGCTATACACAGAAGCCCCTAAAGCCCTGCCCAAGCCTTAAACCTGGGCCGGATCCTCCTCAGTGGCTCCAACGACGGTGGCCCCTGCTAGGGATCGTCCTCAAGAGCAGCCACGTGCGTTTGCAAGCTTTTGTGGTCTACCGCTCCACAGGGGCTCGGTGCCAGACCACAAGCCACATCCAAGAATTACCTCCCTTTAAGGGTGGTTAGGCTGTCAAAGGTGGTTGTGGTCCGAGTGGGAGACCCAAGTTATGTTTTCCCATAATTCGCTCGTTTTGCCCTCCTGCTGCATAGAGAAGAGAAGTCGGGGAGTGGCGATGTCCACACATTGCGAGCGTCCCCGGCAGAAGTACAGCTGTGTGTGACCAGCCCTCAAAGCTTCTAGTGAACACGGCGATTCCTTGTTGTTCTTGTGCTAGCCAGCCCCGAAGTGATCAACTGCTACCAACCATAGCCCTCCGAGCCCAGGCAAACCAGCCACGCATCAGCTGACCTAAAAACTCTAGCCCTGGACCCCCGTCCGCGCTGCCGGTTTGTCATAGCAACTGCCGGACCGAGACTTTTGTCAAATTGCGCTGTTTCTCGAGAATGTCTCGTATGAGGGCTAATGGGCTAGTCTCTTTTGGTCAGTCATCTGGGCATTTGGTCATGCGATCTGCTGGGACCTCAGGGAAAGGGTCAGCGATCGACCACTTGCTTCAACCGGAGATAATGTTCTAGATGCAAGAGCTTCGGGGATTGACAACATGTTTCATCGGAATTAGGATTTCGGCTAGCTGCCGAGCATACTTGCTGGTTGCGTCGAAGTGCCGGGCAACTACAATCCGATGGAGGTCTTCCTGTCGAACGCATCGCACGCTATAGGTCATCAGTAACTCAAGCATCCGTTGTGTGGGATTTGGCCGATTTTGGAGTCGCTGGGCTGTCAGGGAAGTTTAGGCATGCGACATGTTGGGTTTTAGTTAATTGGAAATCCGGTGCCTCTTCTAAAGAAGGGCGGCAAGCAAGTTGCGATTGCTCGATTCATGCCCGAGCCACTCAATCAATTTCGTTCTCTTGGAAGTCGGGGCTCGTAGCAGCCTCTTGGACAACACATTCTTGGCCAGTCTTGATGGCATACGTTGAATCGCTAGCCTGTTTCTGTCCATTGTACCCGTGCCCATTCTTCACCAAACCTTTGAATCATCCTACTAGGCCTGAGAAGTTCAATAGTTTGGATACGTCTCCTATCCTTGCTTGATATCATCTCTTTGAGGCCTACTTGTGTGTAAAGGGGATCTAGTCCCTCATTGCCTTTCGGAGTACCAAAGGCAAGACACGCCTCGATTGTATGTCTTGTGAGAAAAGCTTGCGGAAGCTCTGCATCCTGTGGGCCCCAACACAACAGAAACCTCTGGGCCCCAGGCCCCCAAAGAATCCTAGCAGCTGCGGGAAGTGGGTGGCCTTAGCCGAAGGAAACTTAGAACCCTAAACTCTCCCCCTTTAGACCCTTTAAACCCTTTAAACCCTTTAAACCCTTAAAACCCTTTAAACCCTTGAAAGCCCTCAACCCTGCAAGCAGAGTGGTGTCGGGTGAGCTGTTCACAAGTTGTGGTTCCTTGGGTTCCCTCAGCTGAAGTCGACGGCGGAGCCCTGAAACCCTTTCTTTCAGGAGGCGCACCCCTCTCTAATCTGTGAGTTGCTGGTCGACGGTTTACGGTGTGTAGGGGCGTCGGTGTGATTGAAAGGCTCGGGTTTGGGGCGCGTTTGAGGGTCGCTAGGCCTTGAGGATAAATCTGGGTGTTTCTCTTCTTGTTGTTTTGAAGGTTCATGCCTGCAGATCTGGGTCCGGGGTCGTCACATTGCATAAGCAAAAGGCGCGGCTCTTGACATCAAATTTGTAGGGCTCGAGCCTGTGGTAAATCGGCAGTCCCTCTTAAACCTTGACACAGCTTGATTAGAGCATCAGAGTTTCACAGGCAGCAGCGTCTATCGTGGTGTGGCATGGTTGCTATCGTACAGCCTAAAGACTCTCCAGCGCCTCAAACCTCAATTTTCGTCTTGGATAGGCACGTACCAACCTTGATGGGCTTCCAGCGCCATGGCATTCCTTCTCAGCCCACTTCGGCTGGGCTTGTGGAAGCAGTCCATTGCACGCTGCCCAGCGGTGTAGGATTTGGCAGGGCCGGGATTTGGGCCTCTGTGCTGCTACATCCAGTCGCCCAAGGCTCTGTGCCTTGCACCACGTAGTCGCGCTCTGCTTGTCGGATCGGGCAACGCCCATGTGTTCCAGCATGTTGTAATTGACTGCAGCCTCCGTCTTCCGTGCACGGCAACGTTCAACGTTGTCGGGGCTGCCAAAAAAGCCTTCTCAGTCTCTGTAATTATTCCGCAAAAAAGAAGCAGCACAAGAACAAACTCGTAGAACCACTTTAAATCGGATATTCTTTTGGGCCTGGTCAAAACCAGGTAAGAAACTCACACTGCAGCCCGATCTCTGACCCTTCAAAACAACAGCACCAAAACATCCTGGACAATTTCAACACCTTCCCGAGGGGTGTCAAGTTGCGAGAATCCTGCCAGTCATCGAACGAAGCGAAAGCTTCCCGTAATCCTGACCCGACCACCTAGTGCTTCCAGCAGAAGCAGAACGTGTGGTTTCTCAGGTTTTGCATGCATAGCCAGTCCAGCAGCATTTGAAACTGCGCCTAAAACGCACGGGATTGTCAAATTTTACCGCTGCGTCCGCTCCCGGACACCCGTCGGCTGGAGGGGTACTTAAGGGGCCATGGGAAGGTGGCCAGGGGAATGAACTGGAGGTGGGGTAGGTGCCCGAGGCCTCAGGGGATTAGGGTTTACAGTTTGCTGTAGGATCAAGTAACAAATCCTGGATGCCATATTTTCAAGGTTCGCTGCGCAGACAACACGGGCATCATCAAGGCCTGCATCATTGGACTGGGCTCCTGCACCCAGAGTGGCCGTGAGGCTTACGGGTGTGAGAGGATTTGCTGTTTAAGTTCGAGTTCAGGGTAGGTAAAGGTGTGACAAGCAATTACAGCTTAAGGGCTTTGAGAGGCGAGATGAGGCGAGCATCTGTGCAAGTCCAACACAAACTCCGGCAGCCCTACGGCTTGGATGTGTGGGATGCGGGATGCAAAGTTCAACAAGTCCGAAATAATCCAGGCCAAGGCGCAGCAGTAACTGAGGCATCGAAGGTGTCTTGCTTCGGTTCAATGTGGGCTTTGGGACTCATAGCACAGCAAGCCCGGATAAGGCACTCCTTTTAAGGCTTTCGGGCATCGAAAGGATCGTTTTTGGACTGAGCAGACAGCCCAAGCCAGTTCTCTGCGACCAAGGCAAAAACAAGTGGGGCACCGGCAAGATCGGTGACCGTATCCGAGTCAGCGCCCGTGGGCCCAGCTCCAGCAGCTCCAGCATGTGAGGGCTTGAGTGGCCGGAGAGTTTCACGCTCGGAGGTTTCGAGAAGCGAAGTGATTGACCTTGTTGCTTGCGCTCAGTCCGATGTGGCTTGGGATTCTCGGCTGGCTTGGGTGGTTTCGGGCTGAGGGCTTCAAGGTCGAGCGTTCCGCTCGAGTCAAGTTGCCGAAGCGGATTCACACAGGAGAAGGGAAGCCCGGTGAAAAGCCTAAGCCGTAGGGATTTTGGTGGACCCGAGTCCCTGATTGAAACGCCTTACCCCCGCCTTTGAGGTCCGTGACAAGCACGAGTGGTACAAGGCTACCGACCCGATGAACCTTGAAGCCTCCGTGTAACGCAGCCCCAACGCTCCAGGGCCCAGAAGCGGTCAATGGGCAAGCACCAAAAAGGGCCAAATGTCGAAAACGTCCAAGCCAAAGCGAAGCCTTTCGGAAGCAAGGGACCTTCGCGTTTGGAGTGTAGGGCTGTGGGATCACTTGGGGCCCCTGAGCCCAAGCTCGAGACGCCCTCTGATGGAGAGGGCGAGCAGCTGCCGAAGGGCATCATCGCGCGAACCCGAAAGGACAGCGCGGTTGAGGGTTTGGGGGTGTAGGGGGGCCCCTTTTGGGATCGGGGATTCCAACCTGCGGTTGGGTATTGAGTATTGAGTCAACCTTGGCTTTTGGCCTCGGGGTTGCTTCTGCAAGTCTGCAAGAGAGAGAGAGAGAGAGAGAGAGAGAGCAGCAGCAGCAGCAGGAAGCCCAGCAATGGACTCGAGAGGAATGGATTCGGTGGAAATGGGTCCACGGGGGGCAAGGAGCACAGCGTCAAAGCAACAAGCAGCTGAAGGAGGACATGAAACAATTCCTTCTGGGGAGAGGAGTATACAAGCCTCCCCCCCCACACGACCACCCAGATTTCGACAGCCACCCAACCATTAAAGCCCAGTACGAGCAGTACCTGAAGGAGCACACCAGACGCATCCACCCAGCAGGGGCCAGGCCGGGGGAGACATGGAGCTCGGAAGTCCCCACAGGGGGAGCGGGTGGGGAAGGGGGAAGGGAAGAAGGAGGAGGAGGAAGAGGCCGACCCCCACAGAGGAGTAAGGATGACTGGGCAGAGCTTCTCAACCGACACAAGCAACCACGCCGAGCAGAGGGGGAAGGGGCACCCCGGGCAAACCCACCCCAACCACAAGCCACAGCCACCCTGCAGGCGGGGGAGGAGGAGGACCACACACAAACTCCACCCATGCCAGAGGACACGTACACTTTCCCTTTGGCACCAGAGCTCCCTCTCCAGCCATACACCGAGCTTCACGCCACCCCCTACCTATCAGGCTATTGGGTCACGATATACCCGCCTACAGCAGAGCAAGAGGCAGCAGCAGACGCATATGCCGCGGCGGCAGCAGCAGCAGGCAACCCGGCGCAAGGAATGCCCCCGTGCACAGAGGGATACCTATACAGGGACGACCTGGACCCGAGGCTGTGGACAATGCACATCCACGAAACACCATCCAGGCTCCAGCTGCAGCACATACCCGGGGGGCCCTACAGGAGCCTCGAGCCGAATACCTGGGTACAATTCCACACGCTTCCTGGAGGACAAACAGGAAACTGGGGGGGCCCCCCCCCAGAAACCACACAGCAAACGGCCGAGCCGACGCAGCCGCAGGCACAACCGGAGACGCAGCAGCCACCCACACACACCCATGCCATGACACACGAGGGAGAAGCAACCACCACCCAAGTGAGCGAGGCACCGGACCCAACCAACCAACAGAAGACGGAGATAGCACAGGGAGCAACAAGTCACCACCAACAGAGCATTGCACAGGGAACAACAAACCATCACCAGCAGGGCACCACCCAAGAGGACTCGCAACCACACATGGGCCCTGAGCCGGGGCACCACACTGTCCCCGATCCACACACGCAGCAGCAACCTGCCCAGCAGCAGCAGGAAGACATCAGCGGACCGGAACCGCACCAGCAGGACTGGAGCAGGCCACACCCACATCAGACGGAAGAACCCGCACAGCAACAAAACACGCACACAGAGGCACCACAAGACACACACCACACGCACGAGCCGACACACCCAGAGGAGGCCGAATGGCACTGGGAACAACCGTGGTACTGGCAAGGCTGGGGGGGAGGGGAGTGGTGGCAGGACCAGTGGACTGGGGCCAACTCCCAAGGGTACCAACAGCAACAACAACCACAAGCACAGACGGAAGACCAGCCCTACATGAGCCAAACCACGACAACGACAACAGCCACCAACACAGCACCCATGACCCCGGAGACAAGCACACCAGGAGGGGGGCAAGGACCACCGGGAGGGGGGCGAGGACCTGCACAGCAAGCACAGCCGGCAGAAGAAGGCACACAGGAGACAGTCTCCCTCGTCCAAAAGAACAAGCCCCACCCACCCAAAAGGAGAGCCAAAGCAGCGGGGCCCAAGCAAACTGAGTGGCGTGCGAAAGGGGGAGGACGGCAAAAGAGACTTCGAGCAGCAACACCAGCCACGCCAGCGGGACCCACACAAGAGTCCACCCAGTCACCCCACCTGGAGGCCATGACACCGAGGGAGCGAGCCCTGCACCACATTGACACGGCACTTGCCGACGTCAACCCTAGCAATGGCACCGACACAGCGGCACACTTGCACGCCTGCAAGGCCATACTCCACGCGGCCGGGGAAAACCTGGGACACCAGGAAACCCCCCCCGCACACCGACCACAGCTACCACAAAGCCACGCACGGCAACAGCCACACGAGCAACCAGGGCAAACCCAGACCACAGGAGGCGAGGGGGGACGGCCACAAAAACCCCGCACCAGCAACCCCAGAGCCCTGGAACTGGATGAAGCAGCGAGACAAACACAGCTACTACTGGAGCAAGACCAGGGCACCCCTACAGGCTACATGGCGCAGCACCTGGCCACCATCCAAGAGCTCATTATGAGAGGGATCCAGAGAATGGGGGGGGTTCGGCGAGTTCACGACTGGCAAATTTGGGGGGGAGGGGAGACGGCGGGGCAAGTGGGGCTCGAACTCACTCAACAGCTACTCCACGAGCTGAACACAGCAGGGGACACCAAGGAACGGAACACAGACAGGCAACAGCAACACCAGTTTCAAGCAGCGCTGAGAGAAATCCTCACCCACATCCACCAAGCCATAGAAGCCCACGAAGTGGTGGTGGAGGCTGAATGGCTGGAACCTGCTGACCGGGACGCAGCACCCGCACAGAGGCAGCACCCAGAGGAGGAGGGGGTCACGAAAGCACACCCGGCAGATGTGATTAGTCTGGCAAAAGGGGGGACGGAAAGCCACAGCGATAGAACGGGACCGACACACCACACCGACAGCACGGGGGTCACCACGGCCAGAGGGCTCCTAGCCAGGCTCATGCCCTTCCTGGTCCAGGAGGAAGCGGCCATTGCAGCACAAGCCATCAACGCGCTGGACGACTGGCTCCACGCACAATGGGGTGAACCCATTGTCCTGCTAGAGTCCCAACGGGCGGGGGAGAGGCTGGCGGCGAGCACAGAGGCAGAGGCGGCCCAGACAACGGAAGACACGGGGGAGGACACGCCGGACACGATTCAATGGCCCCCGCCCCCACCCGTGATGCAGGAGCAGCCAGCAGCGGCGAGCCACACCAACCCCGAGTCACCGACGGAACAGACCACCAACATGACGCACGGACGCCCACCACACACACAAACACCACCATCGCCACACCCGCCTAGTCACGCACACCATAGAGAGCCCACGGAAGAGTTCACATCATCGCAGTCGGAGGGGGAAGAACGAGAAGAGTGGGGAGGCAAGAGGCCAAGAGGGTGGGGGCTTCAACGACGACAACACCATGTACAAGAACGACTGGATTCGCGGAGACGACGCACACATGAGGGGGCTAGCAGTGATTGAGCACTCTGATGAAACGCAGAGACGGCCGGGGCTACAGAGGGGGGACAGTTGGAAAAGGTTTAGGTTGCAGGAAGTTTCGGAGTTTGTCCTCTCGTCTTCAGATTGCTCTTGTTGTAACGACTGAAACCCTACCCCAGCCGAGCCGAGAACACCCCAATGCGGGACTGACCATTTGCTGGGAGTACAGAGGGGGGGCAGCCACGCGATTTCCATGTCCGGGTGATGAACATTGCACCCTGGCTGTGGCGGAAGCCCTAACCCAGCGGAACAGAAATCACCCCACTGGGGGGCAAACAACCTTGCTGGGGTACAGCGGGGGGAAGTCGCACGTAGCATGACAGTTCTCTTTTGCATGTTCCCGCTCACATGTTTGCCCGCTCTCGCTGTCTGGTTACACCCCATTTTGCGACGGAACCCCACCCCCGGCGGCGCCGCGAATAACGCGGCCGACTCGCTCGCATGACACTGAGGACTTGCGCGCCCTCCGGGGCAGCTCTCCCTTAGGGGGGGGCTAAGCGTGCAGAGAGAGAGAGAGAGAGAGAGAGAGAGAGAGAGAGAGAGAGAGAGAGAGAGAGAGAGAGAGAGAGAGAGAGAGAGAAGAGAGAGAGGCGCCTCTACTTGCCCTGTGGTGTGCAACGTTTGAATGGTTTCGGTTTCGAGGGAGCTCAAGTGCTGGGAAATCCCGCCCTGATCACGATGCTAGGAGCGCAACCGCAACTCCGGCGATGCTTTGTGATGTCATCGAACCATGCTATTGGGTGGTGTCGGGTGCTCTACCTGGGGTTAGATCAGGGTGCAATGGTTTCAGGTTTCTGTCCTAACGTAGACTTAGGTTCTCAGGTGTAGACACGGCAATAAATTGAAGAACATGCGTTGGGGCCATCTTGGTGCTTGTTTCTCCAAAACTCATTTGAAACAAATCCCCGGCCATGCCAGGCAAAGATGGCAGCTACATCAAGTTCAGCGAGAACTCCTTCGTCACCATCGCGAAGAACAAGGTGACGGGGGGGGAGGTTAAAGGGAGCCCGAGCACCGCAAGCTAAGCCGCAAGTTGAGGATTGGGCTAAGGGTGCTCAGTGTCTCAGTGTACTCCTTCTTCAACCCGGGAAGGAGGGGGTCAGAAATAAGGTTCATCTGCCAACTTGGCCCCGCGAAACCTCAAGCATCCAAGCAATCTTAACAATCAAAGCACCTCAGGGACCTCTTGGCAGCATTTGGCAGCTTTCTCTCTGAGGCGAAAGGGACGAAGATCAAAGGCCCATTGTGCTACGAGATCCAGAACAACTGTCGCCCTGGCTGCTTTGGGTGCGTGAGACTTGTGGGAAACTGAGCCCTGAACCCAATCTTTGAACCCTCCAAATTCTGGACCCCCAGGTTTTTGGTTTAAGGCTTTAAAGTTGCTACTCTAGTTTGCACCAGGGCCACTTCTTCCCCAGTCCCGGATCCCTCCAATCCCTCAAGAGTCCCTCGAAGCCCTCTCCCCCGAATCCCTCGAATCCCTCAGCTCTGCCAGGCAAATCGCTTGCCCGATGGATTTTCTGAGTGGGGCCCCAAAGCCAAAAGCCAAACTCGTGAGATCGGAGAAAGGATTTTGCTTTCTGCATGGGGGTCTCGGACATAGGGCCTTGGAATTTGCAGAAGTTCGAGGGAATGGGTAGAGGCCAGAGTCGAAATCCTCATCCTCAACCTCAAATCGAAAAATTGCAGAACTTGTTGTCAGCTCTTGTCAGTGGCTGGCTGTGCAGCTCACTGCGCTCCTGGAAGAAGCCTTCTAACATTGAAAAGGCAGCGACAGGGCACCCCACTACACGTCCCAGATTCGATACCAGTTAAAGCCATCACCCCTGATGGAAGCCTAGGCACTATGAGCCCTTGAACCCCTTGAACCCCACTTTTTTCGAAGTGTTTTGCCCAAGTTGGCCACGCCGGCTCACAGGTAGAGCTGGATGCTGCAGCCATGACTGTCTTAACCGATACTCATGGCCATCCGATCTAGTAAGTGCCAAGACATGCAGAGAGCCTTTCAAGCAGGCCAGACATGTCATAGCCAAGGGTCCAAAAATCGGCGCCTGACTAGAACTCGACTTAAGGCGTCCAGATGAGCAGTGAAGTACTCAGGGCCTTTAGGTTGCAGAGTGTATAGTGGAGTTTCCAGGCTTCAGGGAAGGGCCAAGGCGTGGTTGGCAGACGCTGCCAGGGGGGAAAGGTGCATCTGCCCATGGCGGAGGATCAGGCCTGGCATGACAGATGTTGTTTCTGGGTTTAGGGTTTCGGGTTTAGGGTTTAGGGTTTGGGGTTTAGGGTTTGGGTTTAGGGTTTAGGGTGTTGTTGACTTCGCGGCTTCATGGCTAGGGCCGGCTACCAGTCGGAATCATAATCGAAGAGCCTCAGGCGTTTGGGCTTAGGTTGGGAGTTCAATCAGGCTTCCTCCCCAAATATCGTGTCCAGGAAGGGAGTGAGCCATAGATGTTCCATCGTCTCAAATGCCATTGCCACCCCTGAACCCCAAATCCACGGGCTCAGAGTCTTGTCATGAATTTTCCTTAGAGTTTTGGGAGCCCCTCTGCTGCCAGTAGCCCTATCATCCTGAAGCCCCAAGCCACAGGAAAGTTCTACGGACCTCAAGTTCCGCCCACACGATCCCGGCTCCGACTCTCCTGAGGTCGGAGACGCGCCTCCTCCGCCTCCTCCGGAGGTCAGGGTCTTTGGTTGGTTGGGGGGGGGGGGGAGTTGAGGGACTTCAGGGCTTCTTGGGCAGGCGCAATCCTCAAACTCAATTGAGCGTGCCGGTGCATGCGGAATGCGAACTTTGTGAAGCTGGGTCACAAAGGACCCGAAGCCGCCTGCCGAGCCTGATTCGCGAGAGGATCGGAAGGACAGAAAGCTCTGAATTTGTGTTGTCCACGCCAAGCGTGATGCTTCACTTGGGTCACGATATGTTGCAGGCTCTTCCTCAGGCACTCGGGATTGAGGCCAGGGATCGTGAAGCCGCGAAGCCTCAGACAGGACCGCAGCCGCGACCGACGTGATCGAGATCGGCGCAGTCGTGATCGCAGGATGATTCTCGCCAGTCTTACAGTCTTACAGTATCACAGTCCTGGGACAAGATTGCTTCTTGGAGCTGGTCTTGGAGTTGCAAGGACGAAGAAGTGTGAACCCCACTCCTATCCTAAGGCCCTACCAGAACCTGAACAGTTGGGGGGCGATTTCGGAGTCGGAGTTGGGCCTTTGTTGTTTTTTTCCCCCCTGGCAAACGCAAACTGCAAGCTCGTCGCAGACCAGACCCTCAAGTCTCCTTCAGGGCCGCTTCCAGCACAGGACCCCCAAAGTTCCTGAAGCCCTGAACTCAGCATCCTGGGCCCCAAAAGACCAAAAAAAGAAAAAGCAAAAGGCCAACTAAAGGCTCCAGCTGGCAGGAGCCGAGACCGAGACAGGCGAAGTCGGGACCGTGACCGTCGCGACCGGCGGAGCCGGGTGGGGGCCCAGATGCGCTTTTTGAAGGATTTCGAAGGATACTTTGAAGGCTTTTTTTGCGTTTGCTAGAGAGAATGAATGAGGATCCTTCACAAGGAAGACAACAAAAGGCTCTTTATACCCTGAGAGCTCACACGGCCACGCGATGGGGCACGTCGGATCGAGGCTTTCCTCCCTGAAGCACCTGACCCCGGAAGCATCCCCAACCTTTTGACCATGGATCACCTGGATCACTCCATCGGGGCGCGGGGAAGCGCAGGGGCGTGCTCCTTGTTAGCTCTAACACCCCACTGAAGGTGCCTGGATTCTGAATTACCATTATGTACCTCTGTGCTGAGGACCGCGATCGCCGTCGCAGTCGGTCTGGGGCCCAGGGAGATGTTTAGGGTTGCTGTGATGAACTCTGTGTGGTGTGGTGTGGGCTGTGCAGGATTGGTCACGTATCTAGAGTTTCAGGCTCCAGGGCACCGTTGAAAAGACGAGCTCGAGGCACCAAGGCTCACAAGGCCAAAATGTCAGGAGACTCCCCAACTCCGACTGCCATTCGAACCTCCCAGAACCTCTAAACTTCCTAAACCCCTGAAACCTCCCAGAGACAAGAACCTGCCCGAGCCCACAAGAAAAGCGCCGCACCCAGCTCGCGCTCCCGGGGCCGTGGCCGCGGCGGGGGGTCTCTCCAGGCCGGGATGGGCGGACTCTGAGGGCACTCTGAGGGCACCTGCGCAGGTCTGAGGGAGGAGCCGATATGTGCAGATAGGATTGTGCGTGCTTGAGGGTTGTTGGGACAGCGGGCATGGTTTCTGGTTGGGTTTGGCGTCTCTGTTCAAGCTACATGCTTCTCACTTCTGAGGCCAGGACTCGTTACGAAGCCGTAAGAGCCAAAGCGATTCAAAACCAGCAACATGGGATGGCGTTAGAAGGGCAACATCTACAAACAAGCCGCACGTGATGTGAACATCCTGAACCCTTGATTTTTCAATCCTTAATGCTTTCAACCCTCAATCCCGTATGACATGTGGGCAGCGTCGAAAAACGCGTGCAACAGTGTCAACACTGCATAGCTGTTGCCCGGCTTTCGCCCTATCTAGCCCGACCCACCTACGCATTCCTTGGCCATGGACCCTACAGCAGACCCCCAGAAACTCCCGCACCCCCCATCCAATCCATCCTGCCCACAAGGATGAGCTGCGCGCAGATCGCGGCGACGCTCCATCTGAACCACGGCAGGAGGACCGCTGGGCTTGCTTTGGGGCTCCTTTAGACTTCGAGGACCCGTATCTGGTCTTCGTATTCCGACATGGAGCACTCTCAGGAACAAGAATGCCTTCAAAGCCGTTTAAAACCCAGGGGGCCTTTCATCAAAGGGTGTTTACCAGTACCCAACTACAGGGTCTGAACCCGGAAGTTCACCAGGACGGGTAAACCAGAGGCTCTGAACCCCAAATCCCCAACCTCCCCAGATCCATGTTCGAAACCGCCTTGAACCTGTTGCGCCTCTTTTGTACTGGTGAATGTTTCCTTTCAAGTAGAAAAGTGTATTGCAGAGAAGCGAGGTGTTTGCAAAGAGTCGGTGTAGCGTGCTCGAAGTCATGTGCTGTAGCAGAGTGGTGGACTTCAGAGATTTCGAAAATGCTGCGTCCGACGCTACAGGAGAGGGCCCCAGCGTCGGAGCCGGCACCCCCGCCAGAGGACCAGTTGTAGGGTTTAGGGTTTAGGGTTTAGGGTTTTTGGGTTTTGGGTTTGGGGTTTCGGGTTTGGGCTTCGGAGCTTCGGGTGTTGGGCAGAAGGTCCTGGGAGGGATCTATTTCGGCTAGGCCGAAGCTCTGAAGCAACACGCCTGAGGCAAAATTCCGACACGGGCAGCGGACAGTCAGAATCGAGTCTTAGCTGAACATCGGTCTGTACTTGCATCACGCTGGTCCAGACAGCTTGAAAATGATCAAGCCAGGTGAAACGGATGCCCTGACACTGACCAAGGCGGTCAGAAACAGATAGCCTACCACGTCCCCACTCCTGCAAGCCACACCTTAAATCCTTACAGCATGCACCAGCAGCAGTCTAGATTCTTGACGTGGAGAAAGCAAAAATTCCTAGAATATTTGCGAGGAAGAAGGGTCGCTTTCCGGATGATCGGGACGTGCACACAGACACAGACACATGCGCAGACACCGACACAGATTCAGACCCACACAAACCCTACCGCAAAAAGGGAAGGGTTGGACCTGCGCACTAGCTTTCAGCAACTACGGTGGCACACGCCAGGAGCCCCGCCGGAAGAAGTCTCGCTGGGGAGAGGCGTGAAGGGACCTGAGGGGGGTCCCTGAGTTTTGAGTTGGTTCGGGCAGCGGATAAATCCCAGAGTCTTCTTGGGCGGTACGCAGGTTCCCCCACAAACTAGCCTTCAACCTTGAACCGAACTCCGACACTTGCCTTATGTGCAGGGCAGTCTTTGTTGTTCTCAGATGCTGTGCGATGCACTACCCTCTTGGGGTTCAAGTTCACGCCGTGTGTGATCTTGCCTTGCTATCGCGCGCACCTGCGCAGGAAGATCCCTTGGCGGCCGCAGGCAGATTCAGACCCTGCTGGGCTTTAGTAACCATAGTAGGGTTTGGTGACGTTCGAGTGGGTAGCATCGTGTTTGGGGGCTTCGGGGAAGTGTGGAGATCAACCTCAACTTCAAACTCGGAGCCTACCTTCGCTTGTGCTAGGGCTCTAGACTCAGATCCGCAAAGCCCTGAACTCGAGCTGTCACGACCAAACCCAACAAAATCCTGAGCCCTCCCTGGGCTACGCCACTCTCTACAGGCATCCCCGACTGGCTTCGAGATCAGTTCCAGGCACCCTCGGGTAGTTCTCAGAGCCAACCATCACCTGTCGAATTTGGGGGGGGCTAGGAAGTTTGGGAAGCTTCTTTGCGAAGTTTAGCCGCTAAACTTTAGCGTATTGGATGCAGGGTGCAACGCTTTGCGGGGGTTTGTTCTTAGAACTCGTGGTCAGAGCGGCGTTTTCGTAGTTTGGGGACCCTCGACCAAAGCCCTTCAACCTCAGGACATATTTCGAGCGTTGGAGGGCCGCTTATGCATCCTTGCGGCCTCAAGCCCCCCCTGCAAGGGCTTCCATGCAGCCGCTGGCCCTCTCAAGACGAAGCCCCCCAAGGGCCCTTCCCCGTGAAGAGGTGCCCAAGCTGCCGCCAGAACCAGTGGTGCGTGCTGGACAGCGAAAAGTGAAGGCCTTCCCGGGGGGGATGTCAGGGATCCCTGTTTTGATTGTAAGGTTCTCGGGCCTCTCCTGCATCCGAACCTGAAGACATCATCTGGCGAAGTTGAAGCTAAGTTCAGTATCATCTGATCTAGAGCTTCGTGGCTCAGTGGCTTCCTCTTGTGCGGAGGTCCCCCAGCACTGCGTGGGCAGGCACCGGAGGGTTGCGTTACTTTTGAGGTTTTCAGGTCGGGCGTCTATGCCTATGCCCTCATTGCCCCTAAGCCTTGCTCCTGTGGGCTTAAGTCCATTGTGGCTCAAAAAGAGCCTTAAAGCTCCCTTCATGGCTGTCATGACGAGAGCTTTTAAATTTCGTGCTCTTGGTCGCCTCGAATGCAGGGGTTTTTAGTACACTTCGGAGACCTCGGCTGGGTTTCAGGGTATGGGGCTGACAGGTTATCCATGAATCCTGCAATCCTGAAGCAATCTGGGCAACAGGCCGGTCTTCCCTGGCCCCCATGTTTTCTGAGTGCGCACGTGCGGGTTTCCGTCTTGGTCTGGCCACTCACTGCTTCTCTAAACTGTGTTCAGCCCTCAGGGATCCCCGCCCCCCACTCCAAACTATCTTTCTTGCTGACTATCCGTCTGCTCGAAAGGATTCTGGGCAAGATGGGCGCAACGATCAATGAGATCCAGGAGGCTTCCAATACCGACATTAAGATGAATCAGGACCGTGACACCCTTCATTGCATGTTGTTTTTGAGTAGCCTTTCCGAAAGGTCCGTGTGAGGCTCGGGTTCAGGTTTTTGACAGTCTGGAACTGCATGGGCATTCATCAGAAGACGCCTGCGCAGCGGGCACTGTGGTCTAGACAGGGTACTACACTTGTAGTATGAATCATACGACCACCATTCATTTCATATTCATAACACATCAATCCATTCTTTTGAAGTATATTATTGCCTTGTGTAGCAAAAGCAACAGTGCACAACGACGTTCACAAAAAATGGACACCTGAGGTACATCAAGAAAGAACAATGTACTTTCTTTTCATATGAATACAATCCAGAGCCTCAGTCGCGCGCAGTCCCGGCAAATGAAGGGAGGCCAATGAGGTCGGATGCCACGTCGAGCATTGTCAGCCAAACCCAAGCCACGCAGACCCCCTCCCTCCCCACCCTGCTTCTTTCCACAAGGCTTGGTGGAAGGCCCACGGATCGCAACCCCAAGCTTGCCGCGCATGCCCGACACTAGAGTCACTAGAGTTTCGGAGTCCCAGCCAAGTGGATGCCCAAACTCCTCCAGCCTCCGAACACCAGACCAAACCTGATGACCCTACCACTTAAAGAGAAGGCTCAGAACTCCCCAAGACAAGCCCGACCATCCCAGATCATTTTGGCAGGACACTAAAGAAGCGGGCTACAGCTATGCCGGGGTGCTCAGTGAAGCCCTTGCCCTTCAATACTGTATAGTTCAAAGCGAGCAATCAAGGACCATGAGAGCCTTGAGGGCAAAACCTTTGGTGCTTAGGGGGGTTTCTGGTTTGGGTTCTGGGGGACGCCCTCGGGGATTTCTGCAGCTCTAGCTTGTCTCACGTCTGAACAGCCGGGCATCCGAGGCGATCGTCACCAGCATTAAGAACGTTGAGGCGCCGGCTTCGAGAGTCCTTGGGATTGGGATTGTCTGGTTTGGCAGGAGCGGAACTCTGTCGGATCTGGAGGATTTTTCAGGGCCAGCCTGGCACGAATCGAAGGCGGATCTCGACACCGCTGAGCGTCTCATCAACGAGAAGATCGCTGGAGGCGGAGGAGGAGGCAGCACCGAGTTGCCAAGCCGCGCCCAGTGCTCTGAGAGCTTAGAGCTCACAGCTCAGATGAAGACCTTATAACCCCAGCCAATCGTGGCGAATGTTCCGCTCTTGAAGCAGACCTCCAAAGTAAGTTTGCGCACCAAGGAGATCTACTCAACGATGTCCCATCTATGGCAAAGCCCAAAAGCTTGACAGGATTCGGTTTGGGATTGGGAATTGAAAGCCCCCAACCCGAACAGCCTTTCCAAGCCCGAGCCCCCTCGAACTCCCGAAGCCCCCAACCTATGGCTGAGAAATTTAGCGGTGCAAAGTTGAGGTTTCGAGGTTCATGAGAGTTTTTTGACAGCTTCCCATGGCCTTCTACAAATAGGGAACGACATGGAGCTGGAGCTTTTCGACCAGAGCCAACCTATAGACCCCCCAAACTGAGCTGCGGGGCTCTGCACCAGGTGGCGGCGGAGGCGAACCTGCGGGTTTAGGGTTTAGGGCCTTTAGGGTTTAGGGTTTAGGGTTTAGGGTTTAGGGTTTAGGGTTTAGGGTTTAGGGTTTAGGGTTTAGGGTTTAGGGTTTAGGGTTTAGGGTTTAGGGTTAGGGTTGCTTTCTTCCGAGGTTTGCGGTTTGGGGAGGCTTTGGCATCGGGGTAGCTGCTGGCTGCAACCTTGTCAGTTTACAACCGTCTGAAACCACTTGGGCTGTATCTGTGCCAGGACCTCGCATCTAGCTTGAAGAGATCTCCGGGAGGGCTGAGTTTTTCGAGTCCAGCGAAGGATTCTGGGTTTGCCTTAAGCCACGACCGTCCACATCAAGGTAGCGTGGGCGCTTTGAAGGCGTCATCACGAAAAACTTGTTCCCACTGTACCGAAAACGCCGTTGGTAGCGCGAGGAAGTTCTACAAAAGAAAGTCGCAACCCCCCAAACCTCCTAATAACTCATCGTAAGGGCCGTCAACCCTTAAATGAACTGCGCTACGCAGCTTCGGTATACTCATCAGGCGCGATTCGTCAGTTAAACTAACAGGAAGCAACTTTCTTCTGTTGCGCAGGCATGCAAACGGGCAGCCAGGCCCTCCCCACACCCGCCGGCAATGAGACGAAGGACGCATAGAGGGAGCCCACAGAGGTTCAGCGACTCCAATTTGGGATTGAGTCAACGCGACCCTGTTGAATTAGTGTGGTCGATGTGACTGAAAACGAGGGGAGCTCCACTAAACTGGGTATCACTCGGTATCACATCGCGTTCAAGGTGTCATCCTGTATGACTCCGACCGGCCAAACTGACCTAGAATCGGCTTCTGCCTGCTTTCTCTGTCTCTACAACGGGATCTATGTGAGGCCCGACAGCAGAACCCAGAGCCCGAAACAAAAGGAGGGGGGGGGGGGGCTGGGGCTCTGGAACCGGGCCGAAATACCTTCATCCCAGAATGTGTGTGCCACACAGGAGCTGCGGGTGGACAAGGACTGCGCCGTCTCTGCATTTGCAATCCGAATCCTGGGCTCTTTCATACGCCCTGAATGTCGAATGCCTGATTCCTTGCCGGGAACCTCAGGCTTGAAGCCGATGCAAACAGAGCTCGAACATCAAGGAATCTACAGTAGTGAGGTTCTGAGTGAGGTTCTGAGTGAGGTTCTGAGTGAGGTTCTGGTGTCCAGCAGGTATCGCCGTTGCTCATACTGCAACAGCTCCAGTCATGGCAACCCGCCTTTTTCTGCAGCTCGACCCTTTCGATCCTTAGGCATGTTCGGGACGGTACAAAAACAGTATGCCGCAGGTTCACGTCGGCGGCCTCATCGGCAAGGGTGGGGAAGTCATCAGGCGCCCGTCCTTGAGCTGTGGGTGCCCTGAACTCCGAACCCGCAAAAAGATCAACACAAAGCCCAACTGCTAAGATCTGGGCTTAGGATGCCTATGGGCCCACACTGCACCTTGAAGCATATCTCAGACCAGGATTCCATAAACTTTAGAGTCGAAGCGCTTTTGGGGCAAAGCTTCCCCGAACCGCTTGGGCCTTGGCTTGGGTCTAGGGCTTTGATGCTTATCTTTTTTCTCAGGGGTGGAGGCTTACGGGCCTTAAAAGGGTTTAGGGCCGCGTGTCAAAGCACATCCGAAGCCCCTCGTAACCTTGAACGCGCCGTCGCCCTAATCTGCTCAGAACCCTCAGTTGAACCTCGCTCCCAACACAACGCGCTCTGCTGGCTCTAGCCCATTTTGGCCCTTGTGTCCCACTCCGCAGTTGCTGGCAGGGGGATGACCTCCGAGGCGGGATGTCAGATCCAGATTGCCGGGGCCCTCATTGCAGCTTTCAGGTTCTGGATCGTTGAAGTCTGGCTTTTAGCCCGTTGAGTGCCAGTCGGTCTACTTGCAGGGTCACAGTAGGGTCGAAGCCTCAGCCCCGAAACCCTACTCAAAAAGCGTGTTGAGTGTTGGGGTGTGGGTCTTCAAGGGCTGGAGAAGCATAGACTAGCTTGAACGGCTGCTTGTCGAAACTGTCTGACGTGGCCATTGTGGGCTTGAAATCCCGATGGCCAAGGATCAGACCTCGCCGGGTGAGCAGGCTACGGTGCCCGAGCTGCAAGGAGTAGCTTGCGTCTTTTCCGCTTAAGGCTTGGGGCTTAGGGACTTGCCATTACTTTCAAGCCGTCTAGCACCAATTGTCGTAGAGACGTACCCTGTTGCTTGAGTGGATCTTCTTCAGCAGCAGGCTCGGTTCCAAAATCACCACCACCACCACCACCACCACCACCACCACCACCACCACCACCACCACCACCACCACCCACCACCACCACCACCACCACCAAACGCCACCACCACCAAATGCAACCACACAACCAACCAACCAACGCAACCAACGCAACCAACGCAACCACCAACATAACCAACACAACCAGCACAACCAAGCACGCCATCGCCACCTCAGTCCGTGGCGACTGTTCCGTTGCAAGCTCCCATAATCCCAGGTCATCATCGGCCCAGGCTCCGTGGAGCAAGTCCAAAGAGCCGAGGACTTGATCCACGCCCCTCGGAGCGGATTTAGTCAGCGGCGTCAGAGGTTCAGTCAGTAGTTTTGTCGGTTCAGTGTGCGCATTCAGGCGTTGCTGAAGTGCTGCTCAATCTTTGGATGGTTCCAGATTTGAAGTTGAGGCAAAGTTAGGGTTCAGGGTTTTGGGTTTAGGGTTTCAGGGCTTAGGATGGTGTCGTGATCGTGAGCTCCTGCTGTCACGAATCATGCCCCGAAACCTGTGACGACCGATCCATGGCATCCTCAACCTACGTGCTGCACAAACTCCGAAAGCTCCGACATGGCCAGGCCAAGATCATGGAGAAGTCGTGGGGCAAGGTGACCCACCTCCAGGGTTCTTGGCTGTTGAACTGTTTAAGTATTTAGTCGCAAGCAAGTAGCTCAGGCCTCCCTCGGAAGCCCCTGTGTTGCGCATGCAGAGCACCAGGTGAAGAGCTCATCGTGTTCATCTTTTTCCTCTTTCTTGTGACAATGGGTTGGCGCACTTGTCTGTGCAACTGCCCGAACCCCACCCTACCCAGCCCAAAAGTTAACAGCCCAAGCACTCTAAGCTGCACCTCCTTTGTGTGGGCCATGCGGGGCTCTGCTTCTCCATTCAAGTCTTAATGCCAAAATCGGCCGAAGCCCTCAAAGCCAAAAGCCCCAACCTGCCTGGTTCTGCCAGGGTGGTGGACCAATGGGCGGCGGAATGAGGCCCGGACAGGATTTGGCGGCTTCGGGTCATAGATTATATAGACAATATCAGCAGAAGAGTAATGCCAATATCGTCAAACCTGAGTGGCACGATGCTGGTGAGCTCCGCCGATACGCCTGCATCTGCCTTGGAGATGGGCTTGTGCAGCCAGCTTCAAAGTTTCATCGACTCCGCACGCCGTCGCTGATGGCCGTGCCACCCCTTCAAGAGCAGTGCTCCAAAGCTTGGACAGCACACACAGAGACCCACAACCCTCGCTAGAACCCCTCATCCCCCCCCCCCCTCATTGCCCTCATATCGCCCTGCTGCAGACCCATGAATGCCTACGGCGGCCCAAGGTGGAGTCGGGCTGGTGTTGCAGCTACAAAAGATTTTTCAAGGATTTGAAGACTCTTCTTCTGGTTTGGAGTGGGTTCCGTTGCTGGGTGGCCCCTTTGGGTGTTTCAAGGATGGCGTTTCGGGCACTGGGCTGCACAACGCTGTCAGGCTGCAGGAGCTCATTTTCACACGAGTTCGCCCCCCCCCCCCCCCCCCCCCCCCCCCAAAAAAAAAGAATCCAAATCCCCTTCATGAAGGAACAGCCCATAAATTATAATGGGAACCCGAATATGAGTTACGGTACATTCCTTAATGAAAGGGTTTTGGAGTCTCTGAGGGTTTTGCAAGACAAACTGCCATGCATCTGCCGCGTGGTGCCAGGCCTGGCCTCGGCGCAGTGCCACCCCCTATGGGCATGGGGGACCCGATGGGAGGCGGGATGCCTCTCGCGCAGAAACTGCCTTCTCTGGCTTCTGGAGGACTTTCGGGTGTTTTGTTCGCGGGGTGTAGAGTTTATCCCGAATTGAGGAGCATCCAAAGGTGCCCTTTGAGAACCCTGAACCTACCACTCCGGCCACCCCTATAATCCCGAAATCTCCCCAAGTTCCAAACTCTGGTGCTGCCAAAGTTTTTTGGGTTTACCGGCTTCGAGGCTTGGGGAGTTTGGGAGGTTCCTCGCGTTCACGAGCCCAAACCCGGCATCCTGTCACAAAGATGGCCAACTCGTTATCCCGAGTTATCCGGTCGATTACCAGCCTGCTCAATGCCCTCCTAAATAGGCCGGGCACCTTCATGTCTGAGGGTCTCGCGCTTCAACGCCCTCTGGACCCTAAACCCTTGACAAGTGCGTTCGAATCTGAACCCTCAGCCCTACGTTGAGGACCTTGTAACCCTGAATTCGACCATAGGTGGCCTCGGCATGCCACCGCGACCACCCGGGCTTGGCGGCATGCCCGGAAATGCACCGCGGTCGAGAAAGAAAGAATGGCTTCATTGGATTTGGAAGCCAGGGCTTGGGGTATATGAGGCAATAGCCAAGAACCAGGAAAGATCGAGCGAGCTGAGTGACTCAGCATTGGCGTGTGCGCCCCGGAACAAAGAACCAAATGAGGGACTATCAGCATATCAGCAGGCGTGGAAGGCAGCTGGAGCCCTCGGTGTGCTTGCAGCAAAAAAAAACACACTCCTGGCCCCCTCCCCCCGGGTCTTTTTATGGCTCTCTATCGCCTGGCCAAACTTCGGCACGAAGCAGTCCATTCAGAAAGGCAGGGATGGAAGGACAACGGCACAGAGTCAAAACAAGTGGAGCGCGTTTACGCTGAGGAGCATGGATCCAAGGGAGAACGATTCAGATCCAAAAGCTGAGGTCTAGTGAGATTCGTGAGATGAGTGAGAGTAGTAGGCTTCCTTTTTAGGAGACTGGGTGAACCCATCGCCCTGCCACGAAGTGTGAGTTTGCAGCTGTGATCGTGGTCGTCGCGGGGATTCGGGAACAAGGGGGCATGGGGGCCACAACTGGGCATTCCAAGCAAAGCCGTAGTGAGGAGCAAGTGTCAACTATTCAGCAATCCCTGCTTTCGTGTTGTTTGTGAGAATTCCCACTCGCTACTTGTAGATGTATGCCGGGGCACCTTTCTCCTCCACCGCTGGTGGCAAGCTTGAGGCTCTCAACCCTTAGGCTTATGAATTTATGCACCCCCTCGAATCCCGCCACCTCAAAGGTACCTCGACCGCCCTTACCCCTCAACCTGCCACCAGGCCAGGGCTGCTTTGGGGTTCACGGGCGGTGTAGAGATGAGACGTTGAGGTCGAGGACATTGCTTTGCTACTTGTGCTGTGGTGTTGTCAGGATGCAGAAAGTGAGGGAGGTTCGCAGGTCCTCGTCCTCGGACGTCTGACGGGATATTGGTGACAGCATTGGAGCAGACGAGTGTTCCAGTGCTGGCTCCGTGTAGAGACGTCAGAGTCCTTAGCACTCCCTTTAATCAATCTAGTTGGTCAGTGTCTCTGAGCAGGCAAAGGAGGCCCCATGGGCAATTCCTTCGGCGGAGGCTGCGGAGGCTGTGGCTGCGGAGGTGGCTGTGGAGGCTGCGGTTGTGGTGGGTGCGGAGGTGGCTGCGGATGTGGGGGCTGCGGGGGTTGCGGCTGCGGCTGCGGAGGCAAAGGCCCAGCTTGGAATGGCGGGGGTCCTGGCTATGGGGGCTGCGGCGGTCCTGGTTGCGGCTGTGGCGGCGGTTTGGGTGGTGGCTGTGGAGGCGGTCTAGGTGGCGGCTGTGGCGGTGGCCTCGGTGGCGGCTGTGGTGGCGGCCTGGGCGGTGGCTGTGGAGGTGGCTTGGGCGGTGGCTGTGGCGGCGGCCTGGGTGGCGGCTGCGGGGGTCTAGGCGGCGGCTGTGGAGGCGGCCTTGGTGGCGGCTGTGGAGGTTGCGGTGGCTGCTATGGAAAGGGCGGTCCTCAGCAGCAATGGGGCGGCCAGCAGGGATGGTGAGCTTCGTGAGTTTTGAACACCGCGGTGTTTCATTTTGGTAGTTAGGAAGGCGTTCTCACCAAACAAAAAGAGCCCAGCCGCCAGCAAGCCCTGAGATAAGAATAACAACCTGAAACTAGGTAGATAGATGAGGGCTTACAAAGCATTCTCGTACAGTCAGAAGCCGAATCCGATGACTTCAAGCAGACATGTAGGCCCGAGTACTTGCATAGCTTCCCCGCGACTTCCTGCAAGGGGGTGCCCGTACTTGCATAGCGTAAGGCGTAAAGTATCCAATCGCACGTGATCAGGAAAGGCACTCCCGCCTTATTTGCGGAACTGATGCTTGCTAGGCAGCATGTCATGGTCCTACATGGTCCTACCATTTCTAGCAGCTTTCCCACCTAGAGGGCACCTTATTGTAGTTGTTAATTTTTTTTGTTTGGGGGGGGGGGGTCTGTCTCTATACTTCCACAGGAAACCGCTATTTGCGCTATAATTTCATAGGAAAACCCTAACCATAAACCCGAAGTCACAAGATGCCGAGCCATTGAGCCTTCCTGCCAAACACCCAACCCTTTGCAGACAACCTCCCAGTCCCCACAGGAGCCCAGGGCAAGCGGCCTTAGCTGTCTTAGCTTTTCACCCGGGAGAGAGAGCGAGAGAGGCCGCCGTTAGAGCCAGATGGATGCGGGAGGGCAGCCACCCATTGGGGCTTCACTAAGACTGTTTGCTCAGGAATTGGAGGCGTACAGGCACACAAAGTTGAACTATTTGCGTGTGGTTCGTAGGATGGGGCTTGGGGATTTCAAGGAGCATCATTCAAGCATGCCATCCCTGAACCCGAAATCATTTTCGTAGCCGAGCTTGGGCAGCTGAAGCCCTCATGGGCCCAAAAGGCCCAGACTCCTAAACTTACACCCATATTCGGGATCCCGGAAGCCCCTGCCACCGCAACCATCGTAGAATGTGAGCTCTCATGCGCCTCTGGCACCCTTCACTTCACTCCACTCCTCGGGTTTTCAAAGGGAGGGGGTTCGGATCGTGAAGTGAGAGAGAAGTCGAGAAGGAGCTGTATGCAATCGTCTAAAAGGCAGATGGCACCATCGGACGCGGACGAATCCGACCCTCGGCAGGAGGGGAAAGAAAGCGACGCCTGCAGTGAGATTCTACCAAGCCTTGAGATACTTCTGCTCGCCCCTGGTTTTGTTGCCTGCATACGGAACCCTGACTTGGTCATAGAACGTTCCTTGCTCCCAGGGCTACGATCCCAAACAGCAAGCACACAGAGATCGGACATCAGGGTCCCACAGCAACATCAATATGTCCACTGGCAGGAAGACCGTTCAACTGCCCAACGTCCCTGAAAACATGCGAGGCCCGCCAAAAGGACCCAATTCAGGTCTACTTTCATTCTCTTGAGTGCCAACCCTAACGTCTAGAACCGTAAAACCCTGAAGCCCTATAACCCGAGACGCGAAACTCTCGAATCCTACGTCCCAAACCCTACAGCCCAACAGCGCCCCGATCCTACAGCGCTTAATCCAAGATCCTTCAAGGCTGAGACCTCAGAATGCCTATCAAGCAACAAGGAAGACCCTCAAAGCACCTCCAAGATCCTTGAGCCATCCTCAAGAAGGAGCCTAAAGCCCGAGACAGCAAGGGCCTCTTAAAACAAAGAAGGGCACCCTAAGTAGCGCGGATCGACTTCGAGGTTGCAGCTACATTGCTGGCCAGGGGGGTCCGATATGGGGTGCCCCGCATCTCGTTTCTCTTGTTGCTCGCATGATTTGACACATCATGCGCAATGCTCGCAAAAGACTCGCTGTTCGTCTTCTTCCTGTTTTCTCCTTATGGTGCTCTTTGTTGTTTCCTTACACTCTTTTTTTCTGGAACGAACTTTCTTATGATCGTCATCCGATTGTTCTGAGAACTACAACATCACAAGCGTTGATACACAGGCCATCACTACGTTTTGCCTTGGACATGTGGAACACTTGTTGGTTTCAACTTGGCGTTAGTATGTTCAGGCGATGTACATATCTTTAGGTGCTTTCCACTTGCAAAACCTAACCCAATAGCATCGCATAAGGTTCCGCAAGATATTGCACAAAAGCCGCCGAACCCCCTTGTAGATGCTTACCCGCGTTATTGTATTTATGTCAAGACGTCATCTATACTATCAAGACGTCGTTTGTCAATTCTTACCGGATGCTTTCTCTCAGTCATTTTCAGCATCTCTCTTCTGACAAGTCATGAAGCTGACCCGCCAAGACCCATGTGCTTCAGATGGTTTTAAGGCCATCTAAGCCATCTGCTGTATATTGAGGCTCCTGAGCATCCCGAATTTTACAAGCCCCCAAGATGCAAATCGAAGGCGCAGCCCGAGAGTGTGTTCTGAGACTTTTCGATGCACCCGACGTCAGGAATGTACCATCGTAAATCATAGAACCGGGAGTTAAATTTCCAAAGTTATGCACGGAACAATGTTTAGAGGAAAGCAGTTACAGAAGGCATCTGAAAGGGAAGAATGAAGGAGGGTGAAGATTGATTCAGATTGTTCATGTTAGAAAGAGAATGTTGGAAATGAATGAGATGCAAAAATATGAGTGAGGACAACGGATAAGGCAATAAGCAAGCAGACGCCTCAGATCGCCTCAGCACCTGGGCTCAGAAGAGTTTACCCTGGCACCCAGACTCGCCGCGCGCATCTGCTGCACTTGAAAGAAGCTTAAGGCGAGTTGGGAAGGTCTTCAGGGACCTTGTGTTGTCCAATTGAACCTCCTCCCAGTCCTCTGATGTTGTGCTCAGGGCCTGTAGGCCAAATCTGAAGACACATTTTTCCTTCAGTGGTTCGGCAAACTCAACCCCAAACCCTAAGTGCTGCACTTTGCCTTGAGCACAAAGGCGACTCTGCATGTCGGGTGTCTCTGTTCCAAGTGTGAGGCATCCCCGGGATGGAGCGCGCAGCACGTTACTTGGAGGTGGGGTATTGGGGCTTCGCTGATCCGAAGTTTTTCAATCGAGGATCTATGTTGCGTTTTCCTCATGATTCAACCACGGGCTCAGGTAAACTTTGTGATCTTGCGTGCCTTCATCTCTGGCATCGCCACCCTGAGCCAGCTGCCGCACGAGCTGTGGATGCTCGGTGAGGATTTTGAGGGTAAGGGTGCAGGGGCTCAACCCGAAACGGCTCAAAAGTTCAACCTCCAAATGCATTGGCAACCAAAAAAGCCCCTGCGTCTCCGCCCAAGTGCTTTGGGCGCATGTCTTTGCGTATCATGGTGTTTTGGGACAAGGAGGTCGCTTGAGCTTTCTTTTGCTGGGGCGAAGGGCTTCGTGAAGGGATCCAAGTGCCCGGACCCAGACAAAGCTTTGGCCCCTTGGCTGCCAAGGAGCAGCACCAAGAACGGCGTCGTGGTCGTCCCAAAGAGGTTGACACAGGAGCCCCGACAATGGCTGTACCTTCCAAGCTGTCAGATCTTAGAGGGCTTATAGGGCCTTTTCAGGGCTCCAGAAGGGTCAGGATGTCATGTGCAAGTGCCTGTAAGGCCTGTAAGGGGTGCAAATGGGCGCAGGATTTCGGGAAGTTGAGGGCTTCCGTGGGACCATGTGACCATGTATAGGACGAGAGCCTGCGCCCTTAGCGCCAAGATCGAAGCACATCAGCCTGGTAACTGTAGGACCTCGGAAGAAGTGTGGAGACATGCCCCAATTCCGCAACATACTGAAACCCAATAGCCGAGGAGTACATTGGGAAGATCGACGCCGTTGCACAAGCCATCCGACAGAAAGGGCCCCCACCTCAGGCCAGCCGCCCGACAGATGCTTGCCAGTTCCTCATGAGCAACGGCTTCGACGAGACCCGGTAAGTGTTGTTAGAGTGTCAAGTAGCCGTTAGGATAAAGGAACACCTCTGGACTCATGAGCATACACCAAACAGAGCAGACACTAATCGTACTATAGCGGCTGTCGTCGACGACCTCGAGGGTAGCAGCAAGGATTCATGGACCGTTGCCATTCGGCTTGTCCACCAAAGCTCTGAAGCATTCGATTGACGACCAAAGCAAGGCCTCCCAGTGGAAGGTGCTTGCTAAGCAAGCTTTAGCAACCTTTCATTGGTAGATTCTTTCCGCTGGTGCTACCTGGGAGAGCCCAATCCCGAAGGCTGGGCTCTCCACGCATTCGCTGCTGGTGATGCATCGCTGGTTGTGGCCACTTGGCCGAAGCAGGCAGGGCTTCAGGGTTCCATATCTTGTGCTGTGTGCGGGGGGAGGGGACTTCGGTTCAAGGAGTTGACAGGACGATTGCAGTGTACAAGTCTCAGGGATCCAGAACTCTATCCAGGGCCTGTACTCATGACCGCGCGAGCAGTCAATCAGCAAATCTCCCATTGCAGCAAGTGCCATGCATGGAGACCACTTCTTCTCGCTACTTCTTCGTGTACGCAGGCCTCCTGCTGGACAAAGTCTAAGTAGCTCAAAAGATTTCCAGATTCGTCATGCCAAATGAAATCCTGGGCTTCAGGGTAGTCGGGTTTGTTTGGGGAACTCCACTCCCCTCCTCCCCTCCCCCTCCCTCCCTCTCTCTCGCTCTCGTCTCTCTCTCTCTCTCTCTCGCCCTTTCCCTCTCCCTCTCCCTCTCCTTCTCCTTCTCCCTCTAAGGGCAAGGAGGTTTATAGGGCCGAACGACGGCTGCCAACTGAGGATCGGCACAGCGCTCGTCAGCTGCGATATGAGGCCGTTTTATCTATCTATTGATTTTGTTAATTTTTTTTTTTTTGGGGAGGGGGGGGGGCCAAGTCTGGGGTCTCGATTTGGAAGGTATGTCGACGGCGTGAAGTGGGAGTGGCGTGGGATGGTGGGGGTTGGGTTGGAGTGGTCGCGTGCGCCTGAACATGACCTTCTGAGAAAAAAAGTCGTGTGAAAACAAGCAAAAATGATGTAAATACCATACCTGTCGCCTGTAGACGCACACAAAACCCGGTAAACGAACGCATTCCGGGCACTGTTGGCAGTCAAAGCAAATAAGCGGCACCAGCAGCACCTGTCACGAGGTGAAGAAAGCACAGCAAATGCCATGGTTTTCGCCTTTTTTTTTGATGTCCCGCTCTCCGGGGGCCTCTGCTCTGCCCTAAACCAGACCCCAAACCATACCCTAAGCCTAAATCCGCCCGAAGCCCTCAACCTGAACCTGACTTGCAAACCCCGCCCCCCAAAAGCAAAACAGCGCAAACCCGAAGCCTGAACCCTGAAATCCAAACCACCCCCCCTAAAAAATTACTAAAAGGGGGATTCTCAGGACTTACTCATCATTCGTTGCCCCCCTCCGCTGTTATTTCAATTCCTAACCTACCTTCTTCATTTTCTTCCCCCTTCCACCTTATTCGCTTTTCAGAGGGGGTTTCTAGGGTTTTTCCCAAATATTGCCCTTTTACCCACGGTTTTCAGCATTTTTTCACCAATCATTCCACCCTCATTCATTTTTCAACTCCACTCCCCAACATTCATTCCAATTCTCATACCACCGCCCTTCATTCATTTCCCCTAATTTCCATCCTACTTTTCCAAAGCTCCCTAACAATACCCTTACCAAAGCCCCGAATACTTGAAGTCCATAATCATCATATTAATTAACTTAATATGATGGTTATCTAATCCATTTCATTTAAATTAATATACCTATTGTTATGTCTTTCAATATACGTGTTTCTTTCTTCTTCTGTCAAATCACAATAAGTGTTTAATGATTTTGATTTCTTCACTTTCCGTTGTTTGCTACTTACTTCTTCTAACTGTTTCCATAATTTAGATTTTACTTTTTCATCTTTTTCATTGTTCCATTTATCACTAATTGTTTTAAATTCTTCATTAAGCTTATGACTTTTACTATTAAGATGTCTGTTAAAATTTTCTTTTCTAAAAAGTGCTGTTCCTTCAAATATTCTACATATATCACACTCAACAAAGTGACATAGTGCCTCTTTCTTCATTTTTTCTCTTAATATTATATGGCTTTTTGTCTTTAAGTGATTTTTATTTCAGGTTTCATATTGTCTAGAATAATTCAGATTTTATTTCCATAATTCAATACTATCTTTACAACATTTGATACTCTTCAACTTACAGCTTTTGTCAGATAGCTTTTTTGACAAGTCAAAATAGCACGATGACTTTTTATTAAGCCACATAACAAGTTCTTCTAAATTATCTTCATCTAATGCTTCTATTCTGCTATTATACTTAAATATTTTCTTATTAATATTGTCTATGTCCTCATTTAATTCTTCAAGTTCAATTTCATATATTTTCAGTTCTTCTTCTTTCTCCCTAATACGTTTCTCACTCATTTCACTAATATTATAGGGCGTTTTGTCTTTAAGTCCTTTTGTATTTTCAATCAACCAACAACAACTCGTGTCTATTATAGTGCTTTTCCCTACCTTCCAAAACATAATATTTATTAAGCTGTGGGTCTCGTTTTACTTCCTTGACTTCATAAGTTCTTTCAGACCATTGACTGCGTGTCTCCTTTCTGCTGGTATAGTTGCCTTTTCCTTTATCAAAAACTTTAACCTTATCTCCGGCTTCAATCTTTGGGTATCTCCTTAAATACTTTTCTTTCAACACTGTGTTAGCCTTAACTTCAACAGAATTCTCGTCTTTATGTGCATCGTCAGGTATCATTCCAGTTGTTGAATGAACCATCTTTTTATTATACTTATCCAAGACAGGTTTCAATAATATAGTCCAAGCCCCTTTTGTTTGTAAAGCTCTATCACCAATCATCTTTTTGAATGTTCTAATAGCTCTTTCTGCTACATTAGCGTGAGTTAGTGTTACAATGTGCGTAATGCCCTCACCTTTGAAATAATCCTGCAATTTCTTATAATTAAATGCTCCATCGTGGTCAGTATAAATACTTTGCGGTTGTCCTAATACTTTGAAACATTCTAGGAAAGCTTTATAAACATCTTCTCCATCTTTGTTTTCCATCGGCACTACGTGAGTTTTCTTACTAAAATTATCAATACAAATCAAACCGTATCTTTTATATTCTTCTTTAAAGGTGTCAGTGTCTTTCATCAAGCTAGTCATATCCATAATATCAATAGAATAAACAGCTCTCGCAAAAGGAGGCGAATAACTGTTTGAATTTTTATAGTTTCTTCTTTGTTTGTTAGGTTGTTTTTTAACCCACTCCTTAACTTCATCTAGCGTTATTGCAAGACCATCTTTCTTCGCTTCTTCATACAAATTTCTAACGCTTCCATAACCCCTTTCTAAATCATAATATATCTTTTCCAGAACTTCGTTTTTACTCATATTTAATATTAATAATATTTTATTAATATTAAATCATCCAAACAAAACCTTTCTTACAATTCGTTCTCCTAATTCTGCCTGTCTCTTTTCTTCCGAAAGTCTTTGACACTTAACGCTTTTATAATGCTTACTTCTTATTGTGTTTGTTGATAGCATACTACCACATCTTTCACATTCATATTCGTGACTGTTGTTTTTAAAGTAATTCTTAAAATATCCTTCTTCTCTGTATTTTGCATTTAAGCGGTCATTATGAGATTTCTTCTTCAACTTCCTTTGAGCCATTACTACATCATTTGATTCAATTGAGTTCCACATTGCATCAAACAAGTCTTCATCAATACATAATTTTTCTCCATTTTCTGAAACAAGAAAAGAATTCATTTATCTTATCTATTAAATATAAATATTTCTTTAAGTGATTTTTCTTTTAGGATAAAAATCATTTGAAAGAAATATTTATTTATCTACTTCTTCCTGACGAACTCCTAGACCTTATGTATTCAATAGTCCTTTCCGAACTGGCAACACTAACGGGATTTGAACTTTGTAAATATTCAACTGTTCTATCGGAGGGCACTGAACTTTGAACTGTTTCCGGTGGGCTGGATTGAACGTATTCGCTCAATGCTCCTTCTTCAACGGGCAGTAAAACACTTCTTCCTGAACTTCTTCTTGAACTTGATGAAGATGATGATGGTTCATAAGATTTTTTAACATTCATCGGTAAAGAAGAACTACTCGCTTGGCTTTCTTCTGTTGCTAAACGCTCTACATTCTCCTCATCTTCTTCCTCTTCTCTTTGCTGTCGTTGTTCTCTCATTCTTCGTAACTCTTCTCTTCCTTCTTCGTATTCATCATCTCCGAACATACTATCAAACAATCTTCTCATCAAACTTTTTTCGGTTTGCTTTCCGTTTTGTTTTTCTGCTTGTTGTTCAACTGATTTCGCACTGCTTACTATACTAGATGCTTCACTCACTTCTTCCTTCACTGCTTCTTCGGGTGTTCTCATACTTTCACTAACAGAAGAATTTGAAGAAGAAGCTATATTAAAATCCGTCTGTGTTGCTTTATTTGGATTATCATTATTGTTAATATTTATTCTCTTATCATAATTACTTAAATCAAACTCATCAAAATCAACATCATCTAGTAAAATACCCATTAAACTTCTTCTTTCTCTTTCCGGTAATACTTTTAACCTTCTCGTTCTAGCTTCCTTTAACATTTGCTCATATGTAGGGCGAAGTTTAAGCATTCTATATATTTGTTTATATAATACTTGCTAATGCATCTTGCGCTACTGCGAGAGCTACGTCTTTTGCAACTTCTTTACCTGCATTTAAAACCGCACCACCTACTGCTTTTGCTCCACTAGCAATAGCTGAACCAATGCCACCACTTGAAGAAGCGCTTTCTTGATTTGTAGGTTTCTTTTTCATCATTTTTCTCATTTCTCTAAATTTCTTTGCTTCTTGTTTAACTGTCTTACCTGCGAAGCCTGATTGTTGCCATTCCGCTGTTTCTTTCAAGCCTTCAATGATGGAAACCAGATACTGCTTCTTTCTCTGTTCGTTTGGCAACTTGTCGGTTAATTCCATTATTTCGGGCGACAACAAATCGCGAACATATAATTGAAACAACAAACCTGTTGATTTAATGTCTTGATTATTGATAAGATTGTCTGGGTCAAAGTCTCCTACCAATCCTATTTTATCGGTTAGGCTTCCTTCATCTTCTTCTTCCTCGTCACGGCTTCGCCCTGAGGGCGAACTTCGTTCGCCGTCACTAACAGACTCTAAATCTGGCATTTTATCACTACCTTCGTCAGAAGCCATTGAATGAACCGGAACACCTACTGGTAATGATTGAGAATGAACGTCAGCTAAATCACTACTAGCGCTACTAGTAGCCCTGTCTCTTGCTTTTTGTGTTTTCTGATTGTGAGCGTCTATTTCCGATTGAACTCTGGCTATTTCCTCAGCGATAAAATCGTCAACGTCATAAAACTCAACTTCCCTAGGTGTATTGATACCACTTGCAGAAACGCTACTTGAAGTAGCAGATAAAACACCCATTGATGAGCCCGTTGCCATTGACCTCTGTCTTAATTGCGCTTGTCGCATTTCGTTTTTGACCTTGTCTTCTTCCTGCTTCTTCAAACCTAGAAAATCAACGTTGTCAAACTGACTTCCGAACTGATTGTTTCTGAATATCGTTGCTCGTCTGTCAATAATGTTTTCAATTGAGGGTCTGTTCGGGTCTCCTTGACTTTCAATCATTCCTATCATCTCGTCATACGTTGGACGTAATTTTAATTCAGATTTCAATGTTTTAATCATATTATTAATTTAGATTATATTTGCTATAATATTTTTTAGGTCAGATTGTCGTTTTTGTAGCTCTTCCTT